CTACTACAATCCTGATTCATGAAAGGGACCCCCAAGAAGTACCCCTAGCATTGCGACGGCCCCCCACATGGCTAGTTTTGCAAAGGCCGGGCTTGTGGTTAGGAAAGCAACAAAGCCATTTACCGCATCCAAAAAGCAACAAACTTTACTGGGATATAGTAGGGAACAAGGGAGCTTGTTGTATAGGATATATATATATATACGTGTATATATATATATATACATATATATTCGCTTATCCCCTACTAGAAATCAGCAAGATAAACGTCAAAGGCTAAAGAGTGAGTATTGAATAGGGTCCGGTGTTTAGGCTTTACGGTGTAGGGGCCTTGGACCAATTTCTCCTTAAACCGCCAGGGAACCGTAATCCTAGATCCAACATAAACTTAAGCCCCAAACCCGAGACCTTGTCCTATATCTGATATACCCTTAAACCCTGAGACCCCAAACCATAATCCTACATCCTACGTACCAAAGCCCGACGATGTTTGTCTGCCGGGTATATTCCACAAAAAAGGTTACGCTTAGGACGCTATATATATATATATGGATCATTCTGGGATCCTTACTTGGGATTCTAAAGGGGCAATATTGAGAAAGTCCCATTTGTCTGCAAGGTACACTCTGAAAATGTCAAAAAGGACCGCCATAGAATCCGGAATAGCAACGCCCGTTAATCCGTGATCTGTAATCCGCAAAGACCTGAGGTGTTGCTAGAGAAAGCCCCCCTTGTCTGCAAGGCTCAAGCCTCTGGAACACATTGCCCCTATATGGACAATATAGCCCCTCACCTAACCTAAACTCTAAACCCTGTGCAACCCTACATAACCCCTATATGGAACCCGATGTTGTCTGTTAAACACACCCGCATGCAAGGTTCACACCTCCTGAAGCGAGGCTAGACTCCCTGGGTTTAGGGTTTAGGGTGTAGAGTTTAGGGCAACTGACTGAGGGTAAGTAGAGAATAAGGGAATGTACTATAAACCCTATATCGCCTCCTACATAGCCCTTTGAACAACCCTGCATAACCCTTATCTTACTGGTGGTTAGTAGGGACCCTTATTCCCTACCCACCCCCAGCAACTTACCTTCAACCCTAAACCCACCGTTATGTAGGACCCGATGCTACTTGGTAGTTTCACAAAATCAGCGAACCCGAATATAGACCCCAAAAGACTACATTCCTCCTTATTTGGACCCCCCCTCAAAAAGGTACCCCTAATTTTGAGAAACCCCAGTAATTGTCTGCAAGGTACACTCCCAGAGGCTGTAGGTACTCCGTGTCAAGGCCGGATGCAGCTGCTGGCTGACTTGGACGGCAGCGTAGCACCTGCATGTTCCTACAAAAGCACCCCATGACTATCATATGGCACTTGATTTTGTAAGGCCAGGATAAAAAGAGTTGAGGTTACCCAAATCCTCTGATTGCCAGGGATTATCTAGGACTTCCTGGTTTTCGGAAGACGCGATAGGGCCAGCTACATCTATACGCACAGACATTCCCCAAGTGGCGTCAACCTTATGTACATGCCGATGCTAGAATTTTGAAACCCTGTTGCGCGGACAAAAGGGGACCGCGATTGAATTTTCAAGTCAGGAGAAAAGCTTAAGGAGCCTTTTCGGGGTACTCGGACGACATGAGAAGGACTTGAAGATACCAACCAACGTGGGCGCCAAAAAGGAACCATGAACCGGCATCGTGTGCCAGACGCAGGAAGACCTACATAGACGCCTAAGTTCAAATCCTCAATCCGTCACACTACCCCACCGGACCCCAATGCCAGAGAGGGCACATCTGGCGCAAGCAGCACCGCTGGCGTGCGCTCAGCTGGCAGGTACTTGTCATACAACCAAACCTGGAAGTTGGCGTTTGGGTGGCTGGTTAACCATGGCCCTTTTGGCAAAGGCAACTTTGCCGTGGCAACAATAGCAATATCTAGGCACCCCGCCATGAAAACTATCAACTCCAAGTGGACTGTTCTTCTGAGCACCCACAGTATACATAAGTCTCACAGGACTCCCGGCTGAGAGGTCACAATGCCTGGTCACAGGTTCATGGTTGTGCGGTGCAAGCTTCATGGGTTGGGCTACAAGATCTTGCAGACATGTAGAGAAATCTGGGCTCCAATTGTAGGCACCGGAAGCAACTGCCGCTAGAAAATTACGACGGCCAAATCTTGCAACCCACAGCTGAAATCCAAGATGCTTCCAACTTCAGCACCACAATCTCTTAACCACAAGCACAAAGTTCGCAAGACCATTGTACAACCCTACGATACTCCAAAGGTTCTTTTAAGAAAAATGCTAGCACTCGAAACCTCTCGATTTTAGGTGATCTCCCCCACTTACTAACAGCAACCAGCAGGGACAATGGTCGTATTCGTCGCTGAACATAGTTCTGTACACCACTGACAACTAAATACGCAAGCCTGAGTCAGCCTTACATGAATCCCTCACCCCTAGACGCTCCATCCCCTCTCTGAGCTTGCAAACAACCAAGCAAGTAAACCAGGCTAGCATCTTTTGATTTTTGGCGGTTTAAGCTTTGAATGCCCTGGCATTACAGTGCTGAACTATTAGTTTTTTGGCCAGCAACACACTGAACCAAGTCCTCTTGGAGCAGCCGGAAGTACCGACCTCTGCACGCCAGTCTTGGGCGTGGGATTAAACAGACTGCAAAAAGAAAACATGTTTGGCAAACCCCCGTATCATGGGTCCCCTAAATAACGCTGATAATAGGGGGGGTAATATAGAGTGGGGTAATAGGGGAACCCATGACCACAGAGTTGTGCAAAACAATTCGGCCAACACCATCCTTAGATTTAGGCTCCTGCATCCTAAAGTGGAGCACACACAGGGCACAGGCCTCTTGTCATGTGGGGCTGTCAGCAGTGTGGTTTGTTTTGGGGTCCCATGCAATTATATTGCCAGCCCCAATCTCTACGGCAGCCCACAAAAGAGCCATGGGTACTGGCTACAACAACACTCCACACAATTATTCAGGGTGTAGGTTGAAAAGCTTGACCATGGGGCCATGGACGACAGAATTAGCGAGACTGACGGTGAAATTCGGGCTGATGACAATGATACTTGAGACAAATAGAACACATGACTTCTCAAAAGGTATGAGGCCCATCTTAAAAGTATGCTTGTGGTGCGGGCGGGGGGTACGTTCTCATCCGGGGAGGAGGGCAGCACAGGGGGGTCGCCAAACAAAACAAAAAGTGCGATTATGTGCCAGTCATGTCATCGCACATCCAACTCTACATTCGCCAGCACCATCAGATGCGTGAGTTTCTCTGGGTATGTGAGATTTCTGAGTGGGTTTCAGGAATCTGTCTTGAGAGGATGCATGTGGTTCCTTCTTAGGCAGTTCTCAAACATGCGGAGATTTACCTCCCTCTTGGGCTTTCACATGCTGCACCCCAGATACTGTATTCAACCTTGACCTAGGCAATTAGGAAAGTCTCACCCGTATCAACTGCACGGCGGTCCCGCCTGTTATGATGAAGTCACCCTCAGGCGCGAAGGTGCGGAAAGTCGTGTTTGGCTCGATGGTCAAGATCTGCGGCTCCCTGTCCACATGATCTACATTACTGGATTACAGGTGGCTATGTAGGGGTATATGGGGTTTCGGCCTATCAAATGGAAAAGAGTGGGAGATGACATGAAATGGGATTATATGTAGGAGATTATATGGGCTAATGTTTCCCATACAACTCATGGACTGGGGTTCCTAGCATGGAGTATATTACGGACTATGCTAAACTACCAAAGGGACCCGTATGTCCACTCTTAATGGTCCCTCACTAAGGGAGTAAGGGAAATAGTCCACATCTGATGCTCATTCGACCATCCTTTTCACTAAATAGGGTTATGGGATCTGCACGGCTAACATTAACACGCTGCAGCAATTACCACAAGCCTTTAACTTCTCTGAGCCAGAACAAAGGTCTTGGGACTCACACAAGGTAACATCGGCCGGTTTACTTAGTAGGAGTCTTTTTTTTGGAGCTGGGGTTCTGCCAAATCATCTAGATCAAGCAAGGGCATGGGTTGCCAGCGCTTCCCGAAAAGCTGCTGATAACAACTGGCGCGATTTTGAGATATTACAGTAAATTATATCATAGTTATATTATAGTAGATTATATTGAAGTCCCTGTACCCTATATAACCCATTAAACCTTTTGCGCGCAATCTCTCAAGCTCCGATCTCTCCATGCCGACACCCCAAAAGCTCTCAAACCCACCCCTGGCCATACCTGTACCCAAAAGCTTTCTAGCCCAGGCCGTACAAAGTGGGATACCCCACCTGACTTCATGGTAATGTGCTTGTAAAAATTGTGGCCTCCTTTTGGGTTGCCGTCATAGTACTGCCCCTTATTTCTAGGGTAACAGAAAGGGACCACGGTATTGACAACCGCCTATGCCCTGAATGTATGATAGCACCCCCAAGGATGGATATCCAGGGTACAGCCCACTCTATAAGCTCATGTCGAAACCTACTCCTGCTGTTGGGCACCTTAAATAACTGAATATGCAAACACAAAAGACAAATGTGTTGAATGACATGGATTCCTCATGATTTCATGATTGTAACTCAGCTTAAATTCGTGGAAGCCACCCAGTCCCAGTTCCCTCCCAGCCTGTACCACAGCCAGGCACGCTTGAAACGCGTCCAGTCCTGGCGGATTTGCAGCCCTTAGACGTGTGAGTGTTTCTCGGCACGGTCCCTACCTTTTTTTCAAAACCCATGCTTTGCTGGACGCGTGTGATAGGACCTACTGTGCTCCCGCGTGCTAGAAGGATCAGCCTGACCCTTTACAACCCAGAACCCCTGACAACCCCACGAATCCAACAAGGTCCCTGTATATATAATACCTCATTGGTGTACCCTCACAGTACCTGTTATAACTTTCACATACCCCTCGGATCCAAAAGACTTCAAAAAAGGTTAAGGCCCGACTTATCAGGGTTCTAACAGAATGCAAAGGAGAATATTAACCCCCAAAAGTAACATTGTATAATACATGTGGGAGAACATTTCTCATTTGGAGGGAACTCGAAGTAGCGGTGTCGAAAGCAGCCCAGTCCTGTCCATTCGGTGAAATCTCGAAGTAGCTGAGAACACTGTGGGCCGTAGCGTTGTCCTTGTTTTGGGTTTTAGCAGGCCTTAAACCGCTCAAAGCCCTGTAGTAGTACAAATAACAAGAATAATAAGAATGGCAGTAGTAGTAGTAGTAGTAGCAGCAGTAGTAGTAGTAGTAGCAGCAGCAGCAGCACTAAAGGTACTCATCATCGTAAGAATACACTTTCATGAAAGTGCAGTACCTGATCTTCCACTTCCAGTCAGTTTAGGGGCGAATGTTCAGAACTTTCTTTCATGGGCTAACACTACTCAGCCGTAATGACAAAGAGCTACGACCTAAACAATACCTTAATACCCAGCAATCCCAGATACCTAGAGTGCTTGCTTTGAAGTCAACAATCTGTGTTCTGGCCATTATTTTGAGAATTTGGGCAGTAACTTCCTAATCCCTAGAGCCAAGAACCCTGAAGCCTTAAAACTCCGAACCTTTGAGCGGAAAAGGTGCCGGCTGTAGCGCGCTAGGAAGCGCGGGGGCCCTGCACCGCATGAAGGCCGGGGTCACGTCGGTAGCCATGCTCTCCTCCTTCAGTTGCAATACACACTACACTACACTCTAGGCTCCAAACCCTAACCCCAAACCCTAAAGCCCAAACCCTAAACTCCAAACCCTAAAGCCTAGGCTCCAAACCCTAAACCCCACACCCTGGGCTCCAAACCCCAGGCTCCAAACCCTAAATCCTAAACCCCAAACCCTACACCCTTAACCCCAAACTCTACACCCCAAACCCTAACCCGCAAACCTAAGGCTCTGGGTTGGGTCAGGAAGGGAGGGCCCTTTAGAGGGGATTTACAGACGGGTAGTACCAGGCCTATTACAGGGATATTGGGGGTTTAGGGCTTAGAGCTTCAAAATAGCTGTCAGATGTTGGGCATTCCCTAAGCTATGATAAGGACTCTGTCACATACTGGGGTCTATTGTTGGCCACTCCTGTTTCTGGAAACTCCCACGTATGAACAGTTCCGAAGTTCTTAAGAGAGTTTTCGTTGCTTTGAACGATTTTGATTTTGGCGGCCTTGGGTACTTCTCACGGCACCACTTACAGCTGCAGGACTTCCATACTTCGCCACCACAGAAAACAGTACCACAGAAAAAGACTATTCCCCCTTCGCCATCCGGCCGCTGTGTCACCAACTATGGGATGGAAGGGGGGAAGGGTTGGTGTAGGCGGAGACACTTAGCATGTAATCTCGGGCCCAGATGCCAGATTCCACCAGCGGCACCACATTGGCTCCTGCAAGGACTGCTTCAATGTTGCAAAGACTAGCATCTTATGCTGAGGCATCCCCACTTCTTTCATTTGACAAACATCTATCGGCGCACATTGTCTTGGTCGGCAGCTCATGGCCATGTAAAGGCTTTTGGGCAGACAGATAGTGTACGCTTCACTTGTCATGTTCTTCGTTGTTGTTTTATTCATAGGTCCAGGGGCCAAGTACGCTCTCAACCCACACAGCCATGGAGTGGCAAGATCCGAGACGACGGCGTAGGGCATGCTTGAAGGCTTTGGGGTTCCCCTGGAACATCCAGGGAACGTTGCAGCTATGCGTCCCACTTACAGGAGCCTCAGAAGCCCATAAGTCTGCAAGTGTGCATAGTGCACTAAGTGCACATAGGGTTTTGAGCGGGAATGCCGAATGGGGCCTTCTGCAAGCACCTGAACTTAGCTCTTGAGCTGAGAAACTGACAAATCAAGACGAACACAACGCCCATAGTTGGGTCCATACCCACAATAAGGAGCACCGCAGAGATAGTAAGAGTAATCACACGAATATACGAAAAACTAGTAACAATAAGACAAATGGAAATCATAATAGACTTGATACTAGCAATGCCCTCAGATGTGAGCCTGCCTGGAAATTCTCGCCGAAGAGGGCTATGGTCACTTCGTTATCTTGGCAGGCACCGAACTGCTTCGGGGCTCATACCAGGACTGCAGACACAGGCTCTGGGTCCCCATGTCCTTGTGCTGTACATGCTGGTTTGCGCTTAAGTAGACACCTTCAAAAGAAGGCTGCCTCCTGAAAAGGCTCTTCTTTCGAGATCCTTGAACCTGGACTTGGTGGTTTTCTTGGGCTGTTCGGCTGCATTGAAGAGAGGGGGCCCGATGTTGAACCACCCAGCCTGTACCTTGACAGTGCAGTTCCGCAGCCGCTCTACAACTCACACACACCATGCACAACCTTCAAAACTTCACCCTCTTCCACTTGGATCCTGATCTCTGGATGTCCCCGGGAATACTCGCAAAAAGGTGGTACATCCGGAGTCCAGCATTTCCTTCCTCGCAAGAATGTACCCTCCAAGCCACCTCAAAAACAATATCCGCCTACAATATGTACTGGCGCAGTAGAGGGTGGCGGGGGAACTCTTACTAGGGGGAGTGGACAGGCTTGCACGATTGGATCTGAAACGTAAGCCCCCGTAAGCCAACATGAGTTATAGTCTAAACTCCTAGTATCCTCACGATTAATCCCTATAATAGGAACCCTACATTAAAAAAAACTCCTATATATTCACCTTGAAGGAATTTAGACCCAGTAGAATCCCCTATATAACCCCTATAGTAGTCTTATATAATCCCCTAAGGAGTTTAGATTAGGGCTCATATAAGCCAACTGTGCAACCATGGTGGCTGAAGCCACCGGCTGGGAAGGGGCTGGCATAGAAGACCTGTGGCATCTTGACCTTTGCTTCGGATACGGTATACATGGATAATGGAAAAGAAAATGGAAACTACTATATTATAATGGCTTAAGGTTTAGGGCTGAGGGTGTAGGGTCTAAACTCCTGAAATGGGGTTATTTAGGAGATTCTATAGGGTTTCTATTATAGGGCTTTGTCAAGGAGATCCGGGGTTGTGGGTTCAAAGGTTTAGGGCTTGAGGGTTTCGGATTGGGATACTGCCCCCACCCTATGACAGGCACATTAGAAGCCTCACTTACTAGGCGCGGAAGTTAAGTCGACTACGATCTTGGAGGCCTGGTATACTGGGTTGCTGTTAAGGAGCCTAATTCAAGATACTATGTTGGGAAAACCACATTAATGACTATATATATATATACCCATTATGGTAACTTAATTTAAATTCCTTAACAACACTGCGATATGCAACCTGCGGTCTCACAGTTCAGGGCATGAAGGCCGCGAGTTCAGCATCTCAGCGCAGGCTCTTGTCTCCCAGGCATTTTGTAGCTTCCATGTTCTATTCCATTATCCCTATATAACCGCTTTATAACCCCTAAACCCCAAAACCTGTGTGTTGGGGTTTCGGGTTGGAAGTTATACAAGCGGGTCTACGAAAGGGTTAGAGTTGCTTAGATACGTGGGCGAGCTGTGCTGAAGATCTGAGATTCTTGTCGGTACTTCTGACAGTGCCCCAGAGCTCCAAACAGGCTAAAGTAGATGTTGCTCATCTACTTTAGTGCCTAGCGTAGGTTTCTAGAGTGCGAGAGTTAAGAAGTTCTGTACCTTCAGGTGTATAGGAAGCGAAGGCAAGGATTTTGAAGGTTCAGGTGCGGCTACAGTACCCAAAGGACCCTGTGTATGTAGCTCTTGTTTGAGTTTAATCTGGTCTTTGATGGTTGGAAGTGAAGGACCACCCCTAACAAGATAAACCCTATGACCCTGAACCCCATAATGCAAACACAAACCCCATAAACCCTATAAAGCCTAAACTGGCCCTCAACCATATACACCCCCAACCCCATAGACCCTAAAACCCAAGCCCTATAGATTTGCGGAAGCCTCAGGCCAAAGGCCCAAGTCAGATGGCTCTCGACATGACATGGCGCTCATGTAATGAGGTCTTCCCCTAACGGTCCACGTACCGAGTTCTTGGATACTTGGAGGGTCATGGGGGCTTATTAACTAGGTCAATAACCCCTATGATGAAGCCACGTAATAACCGCAGTCATCCCAATTATTGACCTACTTGCTAAGTCCCCATGACCCTCCAAGTACTGGGAATTTTAGTATATACTAGCACTTATTGTACATGTTCTGAGTGGGTATATGATTATTGGGTACTTGGACCCTTAGGGTTCTCTCGTCTCATGACAACTTCCTGTTCAGGTGGCCTCATACCACTCCCCTTGCACTTCACATGTCAGCTTACACCATGATCCAAAACACAACTAACTAACAGTCGAGTCGCATATTCGTAGCTCAAGTTGCCAAACATGTTTCGACCTCACGGTCGTCGTGGCGTGATGACATGGCTTAGGGATTTTCCACGATCCCCGTATAATCCTCAATACAAGGGGTAATTTCCATTCTATTTTCCGTTATCCCCAGATAACCACCAATAGGCCCCAATATGTGATCAGGCTTCAAAACCTGCAGATTGACTCCCTTGCCACCTTTGAGGTGGTTTCACATCTTTAACTCACATGACAACCGCGGACACACGACGCTGAAGGTCCACAGTTGCTGTGCACATGCAACTACAATTTAGGCTACTATTTGGGATCAGGTCATTAAGCATTTGCCCTATATAAACTGCATCCCCTTGAAGCCCTTGTGCTACATAGGAGCCGTCCACCTGTTACATCAAGGAATATAGGAAGTATATAGGGGTTTTAGGGGTAAATAGGGGTTATATGGGGAATATTGGGACATTGTTCCAATAATGGAGAATCAACTGGAAAGCGTGTGGCACCCCCCCTTGCCAAAGGACAGTAGTCTGTACAGGCCGCGTTCGGGGTTCCAGGGAACGTTGTCATGGATGCATGATGCAGACAGTAGCGGAATACTCTTTCTGTGGGAAAGGGTCGAGGTGTTGACTTTGATGAAACCCAGAGGAAACCCTGCTACTCGGGAAAAACAGGACTCCACAAATCCTTGAACAATCGTTGGAACGCGCACGTGGCGGGTTTCTCGAAATACTAGGAGATAGACATACATGCATACATGCCTACGTACGTACGCACGCACCTACCTACATACGTGCATACATACCTACATACATACACATGTGCTTGCACATGTGCATATACATAGTCATATACTATAAAGCAAGAGTAACAGGGATCCCTACTGAAAGGCTAAAAGTACTTGGTGCGTAGGGTGTAAACGGAGCTGGAGAAGTCCCCAGATCTACTGTCAATCAAACCCTTGAGAGCCTACTTAAGAAGTCCTCTTAGCCTCTAAAGTACTAAGGATTCTGTAGGGGTGATCTTGAGAAATGCTCACCTTTAGGGTCCGAGGAGCCGTTGAAGGTCATCTGCACCTTGCTTGCTGAGGAAAGGCCGAGCAAGGCATTTTTCAGCTCTACGCACGGCTAAGGAGGGTATGGGATCTGGGACATAAGCATCATCCATAAACCTTGAGCCCGACGGATTCTTCACAGTTGCAGTCTTCAACGCCATGGCACAGGCTCAGCAAAACTAGCCGGGAGTCCAGCAAAATAGATAGACACTGACACCCTTTCTAAGCCTTAAACTCGATGGGAACCGCCTACAGCCCGGAAGCCCGAAGCAAGCCCTGTCAACCCTAATCATGCCCACTTAGAGCGGTCTCCGTGATATATCTCATATACATATACGTTTGTACATAGGTATATATATATATATATGTATATACATGTAGCCTCAAATGCTTTATACGTCTTGTAAGCACTCCAGAAACTGGACGCCCTTTTTCAACACTAAACCTTAACCCCAAAATCCTGAGCCTTAAATCCGGAGCCCTAAATCCGGAACCCCAAATCCTGAACCCTAACCCCCACTTAGCTGCCCAGGCGCCGTCACGAAGCCATTGCAGTCCTCGTCCGGGTCCTCCGGGCCGATACCATCGAGGTACATGGCTTTCCTCATTGCAGTTGGGTTTAGGGTTTAGGGCTTAGGGTTTTAGTGTTTAGGGTTTAGGGTTTGGGGCTTAGGTTTAGGCTTTGAGGCCCTAGCAGCTACATAGCAATGGTGAAGACGTGGCTGTATGGGTTCGTATAGGTGTATGTGCATATATGTATATATATATATATGGCGCTAAATAATAGGGTCTGCCTAGACAGCTGCATGGTACATGCTAGCCCGAAAGGGGATAGACGCGGTTCAAACAAACATATTCAGCGTCTAGGGTTTTAGGTTTAGGGTCCAGACATAGCTATCAATGTACTCATTCACCAGAGCCTTCTACCCAGAATGTTTGTACCTTTGCCTTCTTTTCAGGGTCTGGGTCATACTCTCGGTATGATGCACACATACGCCCGAAAGTATCTATATGGGAACCCCTTTGATCCCCAAGTATACTGTACCGGGACCCTGAGGGGCCTGGGGTTTATACATGGACGTTTCCCCCATGCAGCTGGAGTTGAAGGCCATTATTTTGTGTATTTGGGGGGTCTAAGCAAGGTTTAGCGTTTAGGACTTAGGAGTTTGAAGATTGGGGTCATGTACTGGGATGATATTGTGGGGATCACGGGTGGGGGGCTTTGGGCCACAGCATCTGAGGATCTAATGCTTGGGGCATCGTTCGGGATAACCATGAAACCAGTTCAAGGCCGTATCCGATGCAGGCTTTCAGGGTGGGATACTCGGCATTAGAAAGGGCGTCAGGAAGTACCCTGAGACCCCGGAGCTTCAGCTCTTTAAGCAGCTCCTCTTTAAGCTTCAACGCGTAAGGAAGATGCGTGCTTGCGGCTGGGTACTTGGGATTTTGGCGCTAGTAATTGCAGTACAGGTTTTGGTTAAGTATCTGATTTTGGGTACTTGGACCCTTATAGGATTCTCCTCAAGTTAAAGATTCAGGCGCTCGTCTTATTCGTCGCTTAGCAGCTTGGCCGCCTTTTGGATGCAATGCAAAGCCGGACCGCAGCTCTCTCCGTACGCCAGTCGGGAAATGCCATAATTGCGCATAGTTATGCTGCAAGTAACCTTTGTATGAATACCCTGTATGTGACACCTGTATTGCCAGGGCCCTTCAGAGGGTTTTGCAGAGAATCTTGGCTGTATATTTGGGACCCTGTGTGTATGAGAAGCGACCCATCAAAAATTAAATGCAGATCATTTTGAGAAACCCCTATCTGAGTGAAGCTTCTCGCATGGCGGCGTCAAGCACGTCAGGCGGGGATTGGCAGGATCGTTGGCATCGTACACAGGGATGACGGACACGGGCGCATAGCCAAAGACCTGGGGCGAGAAAGGGATAAAATGCAGCTTCCGGCTTCGCACTTCACAACCTATCCCTAAGGGTCCAAGTACCTAATAATTATATACTTACCCAAAATCTAATTATGTGCATCAGACTTCCGTTGGATGCAAATGCCAGCTGCGGTGACCTTGGAGCTGCCCTTTATCTATTGGGTACACAAGAACTGAGCAAGAGGTGATTGTCAACAGTCTAAGCGGCAAGCATGGGATTCATAATGATTCATATCAACCCTGTATGCTGCAGCCACCACTCTTCAAAGAAGGCTTGCATTTCAGCGCATCCCATTGCACGTACGAGCTGATTGCCACCCTGGTATGACGGTTGTGAAGTTAATCCTCAGGTACTAAAAAGGCCTATCCCAGGTTTGCAATTTTCGAACTTGCCACATCACGCGCCGAACACACTGCCTGCCTTCCTGTACCCGGACTGCGTAGACATATATATATATATAGATAATCTATTTGTAAATAGTTATTTCTGTTCACATATATATATATATGTATATATACACGCTTGTGCATGTAAACGTCTTTGTGTATTGGTATATATGAATATGAATACATACCTGACACAGCACGACCGAAGTGAGCCAAACTCCGTCAATGCACACCTTGCCTCTCCAGGAACAGTCAAAATTCCGCTTGAGGTCTAAGCACTTTCCAGCAAGGACCCCACAGCCCTAATGAAGGGACTCTCGGTGGGTCTAGGCACCTTGCTGCAGGCGAGGTGCGCATGCCAGTGACGGAAGCCAGTAGAGTCCTGAGGTCACCAAAGTCACCTCAGTATAGGCTTTAGGGTAGGGTTCGCGGTTCGATGAGTAGGTTACAAGCGGGGTTGTAACTGCACTAGTTGGGAGCTACTTACTGAGTCCCCTGGGCCTCTAAGTAGCTTCGTGAGCGCACAGATGAAACGCAATTCTGGCAAAACCTGTGCTGTGAGGCTCAAAGGCTGCTGAGGGTATCTAAGGTGCATAGGAGAATAGAGGGCTGTGTAGAGGGCATGAGAGGTTATATGTATACATGTATACACACACACACATATATATATATATGTGCGTGTATAGGTTTGCCTGGCGTTTCTTTGAACAACTTTGCATGCCCCGAAGAACAACTTTGGAAGGGATTTTGAAGGACTTGGACCTTCAAGCTGCCATGGAGAACAGGCTTTGGATGCGTCCTTAGCAATAGCAAAGCTCCGAATTCAAACACTTTTTCCTGAAGCCGAGTCGCTAGTCTAGAGCCGGACTTTCCTAGTCCAAGAGCCTCCTAGTACGCTGAGCTGAGGATATGTGGCGCGCAAGAGTGGGCACTTGGCCTTGAGGATCTAGGGCAACAGTCTGGCCGATTGGGAAGGACCAAATGAGTAGGTGTTAAATGAAGGAGTTTAAGGTTTCCCTGATTGAGGCTGGTCTGTTTACAGGCCCATTAATGACCTGCTTACCGGCTTACCAGGCCGCTGAGCCTCTACGTGTGCAAGGTTGTGGGAAAGGATATGACTGGAAGTCTTGAAGCGGACTTACGGATACTGTAGTCAGCATCTGCTATCACTTTCACACTGCCTTCCATTACTATGTACCTAGATCCTCCAGCTACACTCTATTAAGGCATAAGTACCAACTACTGGGGGCCATATGTGCCCGCTTAAGATTACTAGGAGGGTCTTCGTAAAAGAGCTATTGAGGAGCCGAAGCGGCATTCGTTCCGCCGACACGGAAACCGCGGTCGGGAATGATGGCGCGCACCTTGTTTGAAGGGAGTAACATGATAATAGAATATACCTACCGGGTCCCTTACATTCCTACCCAAACCCTAAACCCTATCATATTCCTACTTTGTTCTGGGGCTCCCATTAAACTCTCTTTATTGTTCAGACGTCTGACTGAATCCCCTCACTGAAAGACTGCAACACATCTTATTCAGTGCTTAGGGTTTAGGGCTTGGGGCCTGGGGTTTGAGGTTTGGTCTGAAGTAACTCTCTTCCAGGATTACAGAGTGCAATCCTGACCGCAGATGTCCCCGCAAAGAAAAAGCTTGCGAGGCTTTCCAAAACATGAGTGCAATGCTGAGGCCGTGACCAGCGAAGTGGCAGAGGCAATCCACTGGAGGCCTTCGTGTTGGGGTAGGGTTTATGGTTTAGGGCGAGTTTCCCCCTTCAAGGAGTTTAGACAACAGCTCCTGTTGGTAATATATACTCAGAACCCATGAAAACTCCCATATAACTACTTTGCGAACCAAATATATCCTCAATCCTAAGCCCTTTTCCATGTACCTACATGGACTGCTTGGGCTTGCGGAGGACCAGCTGCCAAGGCCTCCTTTTCTTTGCTAGGTAAGAATAATGGAGAAACTGGCGGAAAAAAAACGCCAGATGAAACGGAAACGGGGTTACACAGGGACTCTCCGTGCTTTAAAGGCATGTTTCTCAACACGTGTGCTGTTTGCAAGGCGCCTGCAGGACATCAGCTGGTTATAAGCTAAGCTTTGTTGTTTTTGATGTATGGCGTACGGTACTCAAGAGTAGGGATCCGGGTTGACGGGGCCCTATGGGATAATTTTTTTATGGCGCAAAGTCACAAAGCGTTTAGGATGCATCTGTAGGAGTTCGTTCTTTTCGTCTCAAGAATCTAAGCTTGGATGTCGGTCACCTGTATCAGACTATAACATCTTTTGAAGACCTTCGTCCTCTTGAAAGCTGATCGAAGCTGGCACACATGTTGGAAGTTGGGTTGCAGCTTTGCATGATGGGCAACACTGCTTGTGCATGGACATTCACATAATTAACCGTTTAAGCGCCTGAACCTGCCTGAAGGAAAGAACAAGGTAACAACCCCCAAGTAATTGAAGCCTGAGCCACAGGCCTGACGTCTGCACTTTGAGGTCTACTTGAGGCACCCTGTACAATGTTCTCTCAAGGAGTCGGAGGCCATAAGATTAGTAATCGTCTAGGCTCTGACAGTAACCTCAGCCTGATATTCATCTGTCGTATCTTACGCGCAGCTCCTCCCAAACGTGGCTCAACAAATTGTCCACTGCACATGTTCAGCTCAGCCAGACCACCTGTCGACACAAAGGTCTGATTGTCCACGGAGTAGAGGATGTCGTAAGTACCTGCTGGTACTTTGAGAGAAACTGTGGCTTACTGACGGGGACCTGCCGAATCAGACATGGTAGTTTCCATAAATTGGGGGGGACCCTTGGTACTCTCCTGCCTACGTCTGGCTACGAAAATACTTATTACGGGGGCTGGCACTATCCGTGCAAGGATTCTTTTTGGACGTCGAAGTTACACCGTTCTTTGGGCCCTCTGTACAGGCAGGGCAAAAACTGAGTGGGAAAAATCCTTGGGTTTGGTGGACCGTTGTGGGTCATTTCCGAGCTTCTCAAGCAACAGCACGTTGAAGAGGGACAAGGCTTATGGCCAGGCTTTGTAAATTCTTGCCAGACTTCCTACATACCAGGCCCTAAACCCTAAACCCTAGACCCCAAATCCTGAACCCTAAACCGTAAACCCTAGACCCTTTAAACCCTGAACCCCAAGCCCTAAACTATAATATTGTTGCGCACATTAGGCCGGATCTGTTCTTGGAGATTCCCCGCATAAACTTCATAAACTTAAAAACTCCATGACTCCATGCACTAAACCTACAGTCCCCCTCAAGTAGATAGAATACAGGGTTTAGGATTTAGGGTTTAGGGTTTAGTCCCCCTTATGTAGATAGAATATAGGGTATATGGGGATCTTATTGTAATATACCCAAGGCCATATTCGATCTGCTTAAGGGGGACTATACACCCAAAGCCACACATCCTACATACCAGGCCGCGGGTCCTACGCCCTAAAGCCTAAGCCCTGAAACTCTTGACTCCTTATCGCGGTTCCATGTGGTATTCGTAACTCAATGGGGGACCCAAATCTTGACCTCCAAAAGTACTATAGTCCTTGTTTTTGGGGACCCTCAAAAAAAATTACCCCTGACTGTCAGAAACCCCAATCCTAATATAAACCCCTCAAAAGCCAACTTTCCATGTCATTTCCATGTTTTTGAACTGGATTATCCCGTATTGAATAATCTATGAAGCCCTATATATAGCCTCTAGAGGGACATACTAGGGTTTCAATTTCTTTTGTCCCTTGATTCTCCGTTATACCTCCTACTTTGGGGAAATAACCCCTGCATACCCCCTATCCTATCCTTAAATAAACCCATACGTGGCAACCATAGTCGAAACTCCTAGTATCCCCCTTAATAACCCCCATGGCCGTGCAGTAATTCTATACAATCCCTTATAATATAACCCCTTAAAGGAGTTTAAGCTGTGGCTCAAATAGCCCCTATAACCCGTTGGAAATCTTCCCAGTGCTTGCCTGGCTCGTCTTGGATGGGCGCGATTGCGCGGAGGCTTTCTGCGTTGGCCAAGGCAGCAGACACCTCTCCAGGCTTCAAAGGGTTTTGGGTTGTGGGTTCAGGTTTAGGGTTTAGACTTCTTAGCGTTTTGGGGGTTTTTAGTTTTGAGTCAGGGGGCTTATAGGCCCCTGTAGGGCTATGAGTCATGTTTTTGGAGTCTCAAGCTCCAGGATTTAGAGTAGAGGTTCCGGGTTTGAGTTTGTTGGGTTCATTGACGCTTTGGGCCGTTGAGGATTTAAAGTTGAGGCTGACGCTTGTGAATGATTTTCGGCATGCATTCCCTAAACCCCTAAACCCTAAACTTGGCCTTGCTACCTTAACAAGCTGGAGGCCGGCCAGAAGCCTATCCGAGCTCGTAGAGCACAGATCCTTAAGCTGCCCGCTCAGGGAGAAAAAATGTCGTCTTTGCTGGGCTGCTACTAAGGAATTCTACGTTACGATATGGTGGGCATAGAATAAGGTATATAGTGAGCAATTGAATCTAAATTCCTTAGCAGCAACCCAGCTTCAGGGCCAAGAGTTCTGGACTGAGCCTTAGAATCCCACGGCTTCCAACCTTATCAACGACAAAGC